GTTGTGTTATAATTCAGCATATGGCTTGTACACTGTGGCATAGTTAAAATAGGATCGTTTTTCTGGACTGACAGAACAACTCATATCCTGGCTATTGTCAACCAGGATTCAGATCAATTAATAGAGTATTAAAGTGGAAACAGGCCAAATGTTTGTGGACTATTATAAGAGCTGGCACATACAGCAATGTTGCCAGGCGGTCGTCCCCTCCCCTCGCCTAAGCCATGTGGTAGAAAATATTTCATGACACTTATGTCTGTATAAAACTGAGTGATGTTGCCACTCAAGTCTGTAACACTGAAATACAGATGGCAGTGCCCTCACTGAATGATGTAAATGAGGAGAGCAATGCCCAAAATACAATCCCAAATACCAAAAATGTAATATGATGAAATAAGAGTTGCTAATAATATATCACCTCTTTATTTCCACTACAAGTAGCTGCAAGAGCCAAATGAGGCAAAGTTGCAATGATCCCATAATGTAAAATCCACCAAGGACCAAATTTTACACATCCCTAGGGCTACTTTACTCATCGGAATGATTTCTAGATAGGCAAACCCCTGAAATATTGTGATTTTACTTTCTGACTTTGTATCTCCCTACCAGACGTAACCTAACACAAACTCTCTGTAAAGAGAGTTTAGTGATATTAGCTAAAATCACCTGGGAAGTGGTAGAACACAGATTAGAACTCAGTTATTTTAATGTCCAATTCAATCATCATTCCCTATACCCAAGCCAACATGTTCTAGCTAATGTGATGCCACAGAATTTCCACCAGTCAACACAATGCAGAATCTGTAGCACTGTAACACTGTCTTCCTATTGTTCATCAATTTGCTGGAGCGGGCCCAGTAACATCTCCATTGTGAGACTTGTTGTTACTGTGTTTGGCATATCAAATACATCACAGATAGCTTACCAAGCTTTGACGTGCGGGCGAGATACTCTCAGTAGCTTGCCAGGCTCTCCAAGAGGGACAGAGGAATCGAACCCAGGTCTGCAGGGTCAGCCGCATGCAAGGCAAATGCCCTACCTGCTGGGCTATCGCTTCAGTCCAATGCAGACTCTACTCCAGAAAAATGTCACTCCAGAGTTCATCTGCTTCAGAAAGCAAACAGGTTCGCAGAAGTTTCTCTGTGACTTACTGTTTTTAAGTTCTTAAATCATAGTTCTCTTGACTGCCTAAGACAATATAAACTAGGGGCCAGAGAGACACTTCAGTGAGTAAGGCACTTGGTTTGCACATATCCCACCTGGAGTGGATACCTGAGACCCCATGTGGTCCCCCAAGTGATTCCTGACCAAAAAGCCAGGAGTAAGCCCTGGCAGAACCAGACATGGCCCAAAAACAAAACAAAAAAAGAAATCCAAATTTACTGAATATTTTGCTTACAAAATTTTTTTTCTTTTAATAATTAAAATTCAGATCCAGAATGTTCCAACTGACCACACAAAAAGGCAATCTGGCAAAATACTGATTTTTTTCTATGCTGGTAAATAAGTAAAAGTATTTTAGAACTATCACCTAATCAACTTCTATGTTTGGTACATGACACAACCACAGCCCAAAAGAATCAGTGGTTCATGCAAGGTCGTAAGTCAGCTTTCAGAGAGGCCAAACTAAACTTAATTTAAATAAATGCAATTTGGTTAGACTCTTTCATCTGGTCAATATTTTTTAACACCAACTGTGTACTAAAGCTGAGTTGGAGACATAAAAATAACCAGAAGAGACACTTAAGTGTAGTGGGGCGGGCATTCGCCTGGCATGTGGCCAACCCAGGTCAGATGGTCCCCCAAACCCACCAGGAGTGATCCTTGAGTAGAGAGCCTGGAGTAGTCCCTGAGCACTGCTGAGTGTGGCCCCAAAACAAAGCAAAATAAAACAAAAGAATAACTAAGAGGGGCTAGAGAGAAAACGTAGGGGCTAAGGTCTATGCCTTGCATGCAAGTCCCTGATAAGAGCACCATATAGGACTCTCCAAACACTGACAGCTAGGAATAGTCCCTCAGCACCACTAGGAATGGCCAAAAACAAAACAAAACTCCAAAAAAGCCAAAAACTAGGAGCCATCCTGAACTCTCAGCAATACACAGCAAAGTGAGGAAGACCACATCTTCAGTGACTTCAGATTTATTTGCGAGCATACTAGAAGCATGGTGACATGTTCTCTGAACATTGAAAAGAAAAAAATTTCTTTTTAGGGCTGTGCCCGGGGTACTACTGACTCAGTAGTACGCAGTAGTAATAGTAGTAGTACTCAGTAGTAGTAGCTCAGAAGGCACTCCTGGCAGCACTCATGGAATCAAACTAGGCAAGTAACCCTTGTACTGTCTCTCAGACCCAAGAAAACAAAACCTCTATCACAGCCCGCCAAGAGATGGGCACATGTTTCTCTGGTTTGTTTTTTTTTTTAATTTAGTCAAGACCAATAGTAAATGAGTCAAGACCAATAGTAAAAACTCACGGAGTCCTCTAAACTCCTTGTGCTGGTCCTCAACGTTATTCTTATTATTTGTTGTTTGTTGACCATGCCCTTGGGCTTACTCCTGGTAAGTAAACTGGCTTGGTACTCAAGAATCACTCCAGGCAGGATAGAGGGGAGGCGGGCAGCCCCAGGCGCAGGACCAAATGAGGTGATGGAGAATCGGACCCAGGTTGACCTTATGCAAAGCAAGAGCCATACCCACTGCACTCTCTCTCCAGACCCTCAATGTTCTTTGTGTTTGTTTGGTTTTGTTGGAAATCATTCCTGATGGGATTCAGGAAACAATCTGGGATGCCAGAGATCTAACCTGAGCCTTTTTTTTAAATTAGTTTTTTTTTTTTTAAAGAAAACCCCCAACAAAACTAAAGCCCATGTAATGACCACAAAATTTTCAGACTATGCACTGGTATCAATTACCAAAACTAATTTAATGTGGGAAAATATGTGCCCAGCAGAATGTCAGGCAAAAATACGGAGTCAGCCTCAAGCACTGCTGGGTGTGGCCCAAAAAACAAAATAAATCAAATAAATTCTCAACAAACTGTCCAACTTTGTGGTTCATTAGATAAGCATAATCATGATTGGGAGGGCCAGTCTCAGACATCGTTGCATCAAATTTGTGAATTGATCCTAGAAGGCTCTGAAGATGGGGTGAAGCCGTTAAGGAGCAAAAGTTTGCAGGGAATCTTTGGAGAAACAGCGCCCCTCGCTCCCAGCACGCCTTTCCTCCAACCAAAGCCCGGACTTTCTTCAACTTTGCCCAACTCAGCCACTCTCTCCCCACCGAGAAGCCTGCAGGCTCCCCATCCGAACGGCTTCTGCAACTTCAAGAGATTCGGTGGTGAAAAACTGCATCATTCCAACTGCCCCCTGGCGAGCTGCACGGGAGCGAAAACACGTTCTCCGCGCGGCTGGGGTTTAGGGTTCCAAGAAAGCAATTGCTCTCCACCTAGGAAAAGGGCATTTTTCTACGTCTCAGACTCAGACTTGGCTAGGCTGCAGCGACTCACCCAGCTGGTTTATTACCACCGTTAAGCCTTACACGTTTGTCTTTTCTTTTTTTCTTTTTTAATGTATGCACGCTCACACACACACACACACACACACACACACACACACACACACACACACACACACACGTACAGTGCAGATGTAGGTTACGTCGTCGGAAGGAGGCGACACAGGCCCCAGATCAACTTTTCCCAGGCTCAGTACAAACTTCCCAACCAGGGGGTCGGGGGGGTCAAGGGGTCGGGGGTGGAGGTGGGGGTAGGGGCGGGCAGTTCCAGCACCGGCGGGCAAGGCCAGCGGGCTTTGCAAAAATCCTGCAGAAAGGCCACGCCTCTTTCTCCCGGGAAACGAACCAGGAAGAGGTCGCCTGTCGCTTGCTGGAGGGTTGGCTGGGGGTCCCCCCGATTCGGGACTTTTGTCTCCCCCCACCCCCCGGCCCGGGTCCCGCGTGGGAGCTGGAGCCCTCCAAGGCGCCGCCCGCCGCCCAGCTCAGATTTGCAGCCGGGCAGGTGAACCCTCCTCGCAGCTGGTTGGATAATGAATGGGGCCGGGAGGGGGTCCAGGCGCGGGCGGCGCTGGATGAAGCCCCCCTCCCCGGTCCGAGCACGAGGGGCCATTCTCCCGTCTCCTCCGAGCAGGTGGCCGCGCCCGGCGCCCCGCGGTCCCCGCCCCGCCAGCCCCGGGCACTCCCTCCCCATCTCCCCCTCCCCCGCCCCCTCCAACTCCGGATTTACTCGTCGGTTCATTGATTTTTGCCCGAGTTAAGATTTCTTTGGCTCTCATGGCGACAACACTTGTCCCGGGCTCCTGGTTTTTCGGCCCCAGCTCCAGGGTTGTTTCACCGAGGATGGAGCCCCCCGGAGGGAACCTGAGAATCAAGCCCAACTCCTAGGGGCCACTTTATTCCCCCACTCCACCCCCATCCCCGGGAAGGCAGGTGGCCCCGGGAGGGCTCAGCTTGTGCAACTGAGTTACAGAGACCCCAGAACACGCTTTCGATTATTTAAAAAAAAAAAATCTTCAGGGGAGTTTTCCAAGCGCCTGGCTGGGGCTTGGAGGGCGGGAGGGGACGCGGGGCTCGGAGGCTTCAATGATTCACGGAAGCAGATGCAGTTTTACACAGGTAAGAGCAGTTGTTCGCGCCTCACCTATGCTCCCGGCGATTGCTTTCCATTCCAGAGCAGCGGGGAAGAGAAAAAGAAAGAATCCAATTTCTGAGCTGCCACCGCGCTCGGCCACCCACCCACCCAGCCACCCCTGCGCACTTCGGGGCCGGCTTGTGAGTTGAATGCAAAACACTCTTTTCCCCAGAAAAAAAAAAAAATAATAATAAATAAATAAATAAAATGCCCACTTGAGCTTCATTCGCGCCCACCAACCCATCCCAAAACTTCCACCCGAGCCGGAATAAACCCATCAGGCTTTTGAAACACACACACACACACACACACACACACACACACACACACACACACACACACAGAGCGCTCTCACCTTCAGAATGATGAGGCAATACTGCAAATTCCGCCAAGGCGAGGGCCACCCCGAGCCACACTCCGAAGACACCCATCGCCGCCTGGGCACCCGCGCTGGAACGGCTCAGCCTTCAGCATCCAAGAAACCGATCCGGGTCCAAAACGCTGCCGTGGGCTCCCCGGGCCGGGGCGCGCCGAGAGCCGGGGGGCGGCGGGGGTGAGCTCCGGGGAGCCGGAGCCGAGCACCGGCCGGGAGCGACCCTTCACGCGCCTGCCGGGGCGGTGAATTCAATTCAGCCGGGGGCCGGGGGGTCAGGGGCGCGCCCTGCTTTGGGGCGCAGCGGGACGCCAACGCGGGGCGCACTGGAGAGGGGCGAAGAGGCGGCCGGGTGGGTGTCGCGGGGAATTGGCGCGTCCCCCGGCTGCCAGGGGCAGCATGCAAGCTCCAGCCTCCTCCCCCGGCCTCTGCCTCCAGCCTCCTCCCGGGCTCTGCCTCCAGCGGGCGGGGTCGGCTGCAGGGGTCCCCCCACCCCGGCGCCCGTGCCCGCGCAGGTGCGGCGGCAGCGGCGGCGGCGGCGGCGGCGCTTTGTAAAGTTGATCTGACAACTCCCGCTCGGCCGGCGGGGATCGGGGCGCCCCCTCGGCCGCTTCCCGGGGCTGCCCCGCGGCTCGGCCGACCCGATCCCGGAGCCGCTCGCAGGAAACTTTGTGCGGCGCTGCAGGAGCTCCCGGGACCGGCGGGCGCTGCAACCTCGGGCTCGGTGCCGCAGCGCGCTCGGGCGCCGGGGACGCGGGGGGCGCGGGGCGAGGCGGAGGGGAGGGGACGGCGGGTGGGCGCGCCTGCTAGACTTTCCCGGACCCGCGGGGCTGCGGGGAGCCAGGAGGCGGCTCGGTCCTCCCCTCCACGAAACGCCCCGAGCCGGACTGCAGGGTCGAGGTGTGATCACGGGCGCGGAGGAGGAGCCACGCGCCGCGAGGCTCTCGGGAGGGGGGGGGATGTCCCCCACCGAGCTGAACGCCCACTCGAGCGCGGAACCCCGGAAAGGCTCCGCAGAAGCCCACCCCAACCTCCCCCGCCAACGGCCGCCCGCGTTTGGGGGACACGCGCCCCGCCTCTCCCGCGCCCGCGCGCCCGGCCTCCGGCTCGGGGTGGAAACGGACCCGGGGACTCCAGGCTCCGGGCAAAGATTCCAGAGAGTCACGTGGGGGCGCGGGGGAGGGGAGGGGAGGGTGGGGTGGGGAGGCAGCTGGGGGGGATCGGGGCGGGGAGGCCGAGGCAGCAACCTGATCCCCTCGCTCGTCGCCGGAGTTCTCATTGCCTTTGTCTGGGGCGGGAGCAAAAGTGGTCACGCCGGGGAGGAAGGGGAGGCGGCGGGGGGGCGCGCGAGCCGGGTCCACACCCCTCTCTGGGCTGGGGGGGCACACGCTTGGGGGTTGGGGGGCCACCTTGCAGCCCCCAACACCTCGGCTCTGGGCGTGCGGCGGACCCGATCCGTGTCCCCGGTTCTGGGACCCTCCGGCAGCGACCGGGTGCGCGACACGGGCCCCCGGGGAGGAGGATGCTGGCGTGTGTGTCCCGGCCCGGCCCTTCCCAGCCCCGAGGCACCTTCGCCGCCACCCCCCGAGAAAGGCTGTCAGCGGAGCCCCACTCGGAGTCTGGGTCCAGCTGCGCCCCCACTTGCCCACGACTGGGAAGGGAGGGCCAGGCGTTTGCAAGAGAGGAGGCCTGCTCGTTCCCGCCAGCGCCAAGTGACAGCGGTTGTTTTGTCTAGAACCAAGTAAATTAGAAGAGCTGCTCCAGGGATGCGGAGGGTGGTGGCTGGGACGCCCCGGCAAGGTTTGGGACCCGCCCAGAGTCGAGACATGCTGGGTCCCGCAGTTGGATTGATGAGACGGAGAGCCTGGCCAAAGGGGAGCTTGTCCATAAGCATCGAACCCCCCTCCCCTGTTGGGACGTGCGGGTGGGGGGGGGGTGTCCCACTTGTTTCCACTCTTCACTCCCTCCATAAAGCATCCCCACAGGCACCAGCGCCACTTGGAGTTCTTCCTCTTAAGGACTCAAACTCAGAGTGGTCCTCAGAGCAGGTACTGCTTTGCCAGAGCAAAGAGACAACCTCAGAGAGCCTGACAAAGATCTCTCCTAGACCACGGTGGTGGTCTCCGGGTTAGTGCCTTTGTATCTGAAGCACAGAGTAGGTGCTCACTAAACAGCTATTGGAAGACTAGACAGCAGAAATGTACATTCCCTGAGAGCAGTGGTCAGGGGCCTTGACTCCCACCTGAAAAGGGGATTTCTCCCCTTCTTCGGTGCTTAGAGGGGCCTAGGCCACAGTTGAAAGGACTAGTGCTCACCCCTTGCATACCAAGTCCTGGTAGGATTTCCAGTACCAAGGGTCTTTAAACAGGATGGTCACCCAAGCATTGCCAATAATGCTTTAGCTACTGAGTGGCACCAGATGTGGCCAAAAAAAAAAAAATGTTGACATTTTCTCAGACCCAAGTAAGTTGCTTCTGAGATCTCAGTTTTAACAAATTCACACAACTACTTCTGACCACCATCCATTCTGGTGTAGAAAGTTTACAACCAACACTGGATGGGAGTAATTTAGACAACTTGTTCTCTCAGTATTAAACTTACTAGATAAAGGCATAACACTGTAGCACTGTCCTCCAGTTGTTCATCAATTTGCTGGAGTGGGTCCAGTAACATTGTGAGACTTGTTGTTACTGTGTTTGGCATATGAAATACGTCAAGGGTAGCTTGCCAGGCTTTGTCATGCAGGCGAGATTCTCTCGGTAGCTTGCCGGGCTCTCAGAGAGGGGCGGAGGAATTGAACTCCGGTGGGCCAGCTCCACCACATGCAAGGCAAACACCCTACCCACTGTGCTACCGGTATAGCCCATAAAGGCATATGAAGTGGAATAAGAAAAGCATCTTCAACAAGTAGAGTTGGGGAAACTGGTCAGTCACATGTTAAAAAAATGAACTCAAACCCTTTTCCCACATCACACACAAAAGTCAGTTTCAAACTGGATTAAAGACCTGGGTATCAGACGGGAGTCATAAACTGTCATGGTCACGGTCCTCCCGTTGTTCATGGATTTACTTGAGCGGGCCCAGTAACGTCTCCATCATGAGACTTGTTGTTACTGTGTTTGGCATATCGAATACGTCACGGGTAGCTTGCCAGGCTCTGCTGTGTGGGTGAGATACTCTCGGTAGCTTTCTGAGAGGGGCGGAGGAATCGAACTCGGGTTGGCCATGTTGGCTGCTTGTAAGGCAAACGCCCTACTGCTGTGCTATCGCTCCAGCCTATCATAAACTGTACTGAGGAAAATATAGCAGAATACTTCATGGCATTGAACCTAGAGGCATCTTCAGTGATTCACACCACTGGTCAAACAAGGGGAAGCAAAGATTTAAAAATTGAGACTACATTTAAGAAAAGAATGCCCGATATAAAGACATCTCACAGACCAAGGGAAAATACTTGTTTGCCTGATAGAGGCTTAATATCCAAGATGTAAAGTACTTGTAAGACTTAATAAGAAAAAAATAATCAACCCCATCCAAAAAATGGAGAGAAGAGATAAACAGAAACTTCCTCAAAGAAGATATACAGATGGCCAAAAGATGCATGGGGGGAAAAATGCTCTGCATCACTGATCACAGAGAAATGCAAATCAAAACAATAATGGGCTATCACTTCACACCAGACAGACCTTCACACAGCAAAAGAATAACAACAACAAAAACAGTGTTGGGGTACATGTGGAGAAAAAGGAACCACTGCTGGTAAAAATGTCAACTGGCTCAACCCTTTTGGAAAACAATATGGACATGTCTCAGAAAACTATTGAGCTTCCATATGACCCAGTAATTCCACTTCTAGGCATCTACGCTCAAGGGGCCCAAAAGTCTATTCAGAAAAGACCTTTCCACTCAGATGATCATCACAGCCCTATTCACAATAGCCAAAATCTGGAAACAGCTCAACTGTCCAAGAACGAATGATTAGATAAAGAAAAACTATGGTATTATACACAGAATGGAATACTACTTAGCTAGTAAGAAACAATGAAATCATGCAATTTGATGGTACATGCCAGGAACTGGCGAGTATCATACTGCATGAAGTTAGTCAGAAGAAGGGCAACAGAAACAATGATCTCTCTCATATGTGTAATATAAAGAAACATAGTAAGGGAATTACAAATAGTCAAGGGCAGCAGAGAACTGTCTACAGAACTGGGCTGGAGGGAGAGAGAGGGTATGAGGGTTAAAGAGGGAGACACTCTAATAGAATGTTTCATGCACGAAACTCTATCATTAACAGTATTGGAAACCATGGTGCCTAATTTTTTTAATTTATATTAAAGTTTTTTATTAAATTAAATTTTTGTGGGAGCCTCAATACCTATATTGCAAACCACAACACCCAAAAGGAGAGAGAGAGAGAGAGAGAAAGGGAATACCCTGGCACAGAGACAGAGGCGGGGTGGGGTGGGGTTATGGGGTGGGGACGTTGGGAGGGATACTGGGATCATTGGTGGTGGAGAATGGGCACTGGTGGAGGGATGGGTACTCGATCATTGTATGACTGAAACTGTCCTCCCGTTGTTCATGGATTTTCTCAGTCAGGCCCAGTAACGTCTCCATTGTGAGACTTTGTTGTTACTGTGTTTGACATATCGAATACATCACAGGTAGCTGGCCAGGCTTTGCCATGCGGGCGAGATACTCTCGGTAGCTTGCCGGTCTCTCCGATTGGGGCGGAGGATGCAAACCCGGCTCGGCTGGGCCCGGGCTGCGTGCAAGGCAAACGCCCTACTTGCTGTACTATCGCTCCAGCCCATGACTGAAACATAAGCACAAAAGTGTATAAGTCTGTAACTGTACCTCACAGTGATTCATTTAAAAATGAAAATAAATGAAAAAACAAAAAAAAAATTTTTGTGGGAGCTATTCTCCCTGGTTCTTGATTTAGTAATGATCAGGGGACCTAAGGGCCATACTTGACAGTGCTGGGAGCTAGGAGTTGGAGATGCACATTCTATAAATTAAGCCCAGAAATTTGCACATATTAGGCAGGATCCCAATCACTTGAGCAACATCCCTGGCTGAGAATTGATTTTTTGGTTTGGTTTTTCACTGG